ATGTGGCTCATACTACTCTCTTCGTCCTATCTAATTCCTCCTTCATGTTATTTCCCATGTTCAATGAGCGCCCGTATGAAGCGCTTTCTGCAATTAGGAAACCATCCGTTTTGAATTGTTCATCATTGCATCATTGATTTTTAATGAACTGGGTTTTCTCTTCATTAATAGGTAATCCGATCTTTCTCACCGTTTCGTTATGTTCCTTAAGCATCGTCTTTGCTTAATTGATATTTTTTGAAATGATGACGATGTCAACCGTGAACGAAGATGTGACGGGAATTCCTCATCGATGCGCATGCCCCTCTCGTCCCATTCGAGTGAGTTCACTGGCAAAAGCGGTGAACAGTTTTGGCGATATTGCTTCGCCTGACGAACCTCTCACCAAGGGGTATGATGAGGATTCGATGAAAGAGCTATGATTTCGTGGTGCAGTTTCGGTAGCAGTGAGGAAAGTTCTTGCGTAGGACAGATCCACGCCTTGATCGACGAGCACTGATATGACTGAAATTGTTTTGCCGCTATCAAACACTTCTTCACATTAGAGAAAAGTTAGGATTGAGGGCAGTGATATTCCCGAAAGACTTCAATGACCCCTTAAATATACTGCCAGGATGTAGTAATTTTGAACAAGGTCTCGAAATAATTAATAGGAAGTGTAGTTTCAAAAATTTGTAAAATTTTAATAAAGTTCCTACCTGAATGATACTCAGCATTCTTTGTCCAACTGCTTTCATTGTTTCTTGCGCGACCTTGAAAGTCAGAATAAGTGAAACACCCGTCCAACAAGTCCTCCTTTGACGGTGAGAAATTCGAAACAGCATTGTTTTTAAAAACGAAAACGGTTCTTTCAGGATGTGTTACATTCGTAACAGCGGTAAAACGTCAATGATATAAACATAATCAAGAAAAAACAATCAGCCTGTAATGCTTCAATCACTGCTTTATCCATTGTACCGAACTCTCCACGCCTATTCCTTTCGAAGAGCTTTTGATAGTTATACTTATTTTGTATGAGAAGAACGGCAAAGTATGCGAGACACCTTACTCTCCTCCGAATTTTTTTTGGGGGCACGTTATCTTCTCCAACCTAATTAGAGAAGTCCTTATCTTAATTTAAAACTTGCACGAGATTGGTATCTCTTATTCTCAAAAAGGTGACCACGAAATAAAGGGATAATAAATTTGATGTAACGTTTGGCGGCAACTTCTTCGCCAGATCCTTATTCACAGTTACATGTGAGAGGTCACCGGTCATGTGTGACACACTCCCGGAAAACGACGGATAAATGGTAGAGAAAAGTACTAGTGAAGAAACATTTCTCAGAGTGTGCCACAAATGACTGATGACCTCTCTCACATAACTGTTATAAATAAGGCTCTGACGAAGGCGTTGCTAACGAAGGCGTTGCTGACGAAACCAACAAATTTTAAGAAAAAAAATTACCACCTTCATCCAAGTTTTAAGTGAAGAAGATGACAGTTCGCAAGAAGTTTCACATTTTAATAGTCATGCCAAATCTTATAAATATTCGGATTTTTAAGCTATTAAGAGAAGCTATGTTATTATAGTGATTAGAAATGGCTATTTTTTTTGCCAACCCTAGTTACTCTATCTTCTCTCTTTTCATAAGCACACTGGCTGATTTTTGAAACATATTTTTTACGTAAGCCTTTTATGTGTAAGGAGTGAGGGAAGATATAATGTGCAAAGATTTTCTCGTTACTAAATTCTCGCTACTACTTCATAACGTCCACGTTCTCAAACAGTTTGGTGTGCACGTTGGGAAATTCAAGCCAGTTTTTTTCTGCTGCCTCACAGGTAAATTCTACGTACTTGAAAGTACGTTTGTCCGTTTATAACGTTTGCACATTACCTCTTATGCGTAATAATTAATCAGACAATTGTCTATTATATATATACAGCAAAGCAATGTTCGAAAGTCAATTATTCTAACTTCCACTTTGATGAAAGCAGTAGCAAGACTTGGTAAGAGATGGTGTTCCATTGTCAATCGTCTCTTCTGTGCGAAATTTATGCATTTATCCATTACCAATAATGTGTAACAAATAACCAGTCAACTCAAAGACTATGAAGCTCAGGCATTTGTTCAAAAGAGCCATAGGATGCTGAATCAGCAGTCTGTACATACTTAATGCTCTTTGTTGTTGTTTGAGGAGCACGTGTTTGAGAGGATGGAGGTTTTCAAAAGTCGGTTAGTTGACGCGTTGATTTGAAGAGCAGTACCATTGAAAGGCTCCTTGACCTTGGAAAGGCCTTGAAAGACGTACGCGTTGTTGGGAGACGCGTGCGCAAATCATTCAGAACATTCGATGATTACAAGATGGACTGAAATGTGTTTCAAAGCACACTAGTCTTTGGACTGAAATGTGTTCCAAAGCACACTAGTCTTTATTGGTCCATCCACACACTTGATGATTGTTCTAAGTGAATGTTAATGGATCGATAAACGAAAGATTATTGCTGAATAATAACTCATAAGGTTTACAAGTAAGTTTAGAACTGAACGTGTCGGCGGTGCATAATCATGAACCTTTTCAAGCCTAACAATCAATAATGAATCTTCTCGACAAATCTAACTGCTCCCAGTGTCCTACTATAGTGGTCTGCTTCTCCAAACGTTGGTAGTGGTGCTCACACGAAATGCAAAACACTATACCATGCGTATCTAGATTGAGCTGAATAAGAATATTTTGAACGGAACGTACTTAAATGAGGAGAGATGAGTGCTACTTAGCTCGGATTCACGATCTTATTGGAATAATGTCGTGTTTTTGACTTAGTGCAGGAATGAATGTCTTATAAGAATAGAGATCTGTTCATTAAGAATGGATTTCGTGTCTGATATGACAAACACGTATGTCGTAATGTCGCTGAAATCACCATGAACAAAACTGAAGTATTGACTACGATTTGATTACGAGTATTCGCGGCTGCAATCCATAAGCGCAACGTTCAGAAACTCCGAAACAAGATTACTGTTCTACAGAATAAGCTTAGTTTTCTTAACGTGCGTATGTTCAAACCAGTTTTTTTCAGCATACACAGTGGCATATAACGTGGCTTTCTTCACAACATTCTCAATTAACTTTCAGCGTGTCTCGACTTCTTCAGACACTGGAAACACAATCTATACTGCAACCTACTCCGCAAAACACTTGCGTAACCTCAACATCAAAGTGAAGAGACTTGCTTCTCATTCGCACTGGTACCAAAACAACTCTACACACTGATTCTCCCACTGAATTTTCTACAAGTAAATAAATTCTAAAAGCGCATATATCTTAGCAACGTATCTTTGACCGTGTCTCTACTACTCTTTCAACCAAACCACATGCAGAAGAACATATATTCAAATTTACACACTAAACCCAAAGAAACGGCTATAGAAATCGATGCGCGCCGAGCGAATTGCGCGATTTCGTTATTTGATTAAGAATTCTTGTTCTTTTACGGAAGTTCATAGAATTCTTGTATTAATGTGGTAGAACAAAATTTCTCTCACTCTTGCTCACATACTTTGGCTTAGTTATACGTGTCTTCTGTAGGAAAAGCGCTGGATTACTACGCGATCTCACTGAGTTTGGCATTCAGCCATTTGATTACATTGTAAAGAGAGAGTCACAAGAAAAAAATTTCCAGTTTTGCTCTTCCTCAATTATTCACAGGACCCAAGAATCATCATTAGCACTTTATTACTTTACTTGATCCGTCATCACAGTGTCTTTTTTCACTGTGCGGATTCAGTGTTTCTAACATTGAACTCGTTTTTCTTCTTCTTCTTGAACGCATAGAATACTGCTCGAGCAAGTCCCCTTGCTATCTCGAGGATAATCTTTCGTTCCATGGAACGTTTTTGTTGACTGCCGGAGAGGAGTGAAAGTGGAGCTCTGCTCCGGGCGCGTCACGACGAGCATCACAACCACTCCGTCACGGCGCCCCACAAAAAAGTCGTCATACTAAATAAAAATTGGAGAGCAGGTAATTGATCAAAAATGATTGCGCATGCTCTATTCGATGCCGCTCATCGAAAACTCTCACTATAACTAAGATAGTATCAATCATTCGTTTAAGTCCCAATTTTCAGAGCTGATGTATGTAAGAAAAAGCCGAGAACTCATGGATAGTGGAAAAATTCTGAGCGGGAATGGACAACCGTGTTTGCATAAAAAGCTTAGAACATCGGCATTTTGCAAACTATTGGTCAGAAATATGTGTCTCCAAAGATGTATCCTCGACACTTTTCCCCTGTTCTCGTACATATTCAAAAAATAGGTATTTTTTCAATCTTTTTTGAGGCTTTAGTAATTATTGACACCTTGAATAATGAGAAACTGGGGAATTTTTCAAAATGGTGTTTATATTAGACAGTAAATGTAGAGTGAAATTCTCTTTCACACTCAAGCATCTTCCATAGAGCGAAGGTTTCATAGCTATAACGACGCACTAGGAAGTTTCTCTCAAAATTTAACCATATCCATAGAAGGTCAAGATATGCGCTATTGAATATGTGTAAATGTCTCGAAGAAAAGCCCTGTCTAGCGAAAAATACTTAGACGTTCAACACACTTTTGATATAGTTGCTAAAGCTTGCAACGAGATTTTTTTTTCAAGAAGCAACGACACCATTACAGTCTTCGAGATTTGAGCTATAAACTAGTTATCAAACGGCGACGGCTTAATGACAATGTTTCAATCCCATTCTCGTATCTGAGGAAAGCATATGCGCCACAGGTAAAATGCAATCTTAATTTCTGTTTTGCAGCGCAATTAAGAATTTTCTTGGAGAACTAAAAGCACTGTTTAATTCGCGGAAATTTACACTATCGAAGTAATTGCTGGACTTTTTGAGGAAAAACTCTGCTTATCTAAAGATGCTTGAGTGAATAACAATCAAAATTCATTTTATTTGACCGCGTGTTGCGGTGGTATGATGTTGCAATAAACCCAATAATGTAGAGTGGTGTGCAAGAACATGTGCGTCAGCTGTGATTCAAACCCAGATCTCACTCTTTCCGGTGCAGCGTGTTGTACCGTTGCACTACCGACGCTTTGTACAAAAACATTGTGTTTTCTTATATATAGGAATATAGGAACCTTACAGAAATTAAAATACATTTCCCGAATTTGCGAGGGACAAGCTATCGAATAATCACTAAAACGTCTACAAGAGCAAAAAATAGGTTTTTTTTTTCGAATATGGGAGCCCATAGCGGAAGTACAGTATCATACGCAATAATGAAGGCGCGTTTTTTTCGGAACTTGCTTGCTCTACATATTGGGACTATCTCCACTTAAACCTCTATTAGAGATACTTAGCTGTAGGAGATGTGCTTTCAAGCTACGTTCACGCAAGAAAGTCGATATAAATGCGCAAATAGGGTCAGTAACGTGTTTATTTTGTCACGGAGACCTAGTATTGCCGCTGAAAATGAAGGATTTCAAGAAAATTGGATAGTTCTTTCAACATAGAAACATTTGCAAAAAAATAGGTCTGATATCACATTTTTTACCTAACAAAAATGTACCTCTGACATATGAATTTTATCCATAATTACCAACAAACCACCTATTACGTCCAAGCAGCGCAGCGAGGGAATTTTTAGGTGTGAAACTTGATTTTCTTTTCTCTCTTACAGCGTTCTATGATAACCTTTCAAAAATCAGCTACATCATCAAAATTCTCAAAATTTGGGTCAGCCAATGAATGACATGTAAATTTATCGGAGAGCTATATTGAAGCCTCAGCAGAGCAAATGAAGCAACTGGTTAAAAAATATAATTTTGTTCTAGCTGTTATAGCGCAACAAAAAATCTTCCTAAAAAATCAGGTACACATCACTGAAATTGCAAAGATTCAAACTTTCGAAATATAACCGAGTGTCTAAGAAAAAAGTTTTGTCCAACGAGAAAGATCTTCAAAGAACTATGAACCTTAGACGGTACATGTCGTCCCATAGAGGTTAAATGATGGCTTATAATCGGCATTTCTACGACGCTGACATGTGGAAAACTCTCTGAAGCTGATAAAAATCATAAAAACGTTTGAGGATAACTACAATATGTAAAATATTTGTAGTGTTAGAATATTTTACACCGTGAAATCAGACACGTACGTCTGAAATTTTTGGGCACAAAAAAGCTGGCATATTTTTCCAATGTTTTTTGGCAGGAAATATTGACTGTTCCGTGCTCTTAAGTTCTTCTTTCTGTTCAAACATTTAAGCACTGTGCTTACCAGTATACACATTGTGATTTGGCAGCCTCAGGACCTCAAACGGATTCGATATCATTGGCAGCATGGAAACAGTGCTTTCAATTTGAACATCAGATGTTATTCTGCTTGACTATACAATAAAAACACTCTCTAAAACTCAATTCTCAATCTCAGTATCGGCCATGATCTCAGAGTCATAAAATCATGGTGCTATTTTGTACAAATACTTTGAAAATATACCACATTGCTTGTTCCGAGTGTTTTCTGAGACAACGTTCGTGTTTCGACATGCCTGGTAATTATTTTTGAGCCATGCATGTGGTATGTTATGTGTATCCATACAGTGCAGCACATGTGTTTCGGCCTGGGCTTGCATCATCGTCAGGTGAACAGTGCCTTTCGTTTGGGCCACTCCCTCTCGATGGCAAACCCCTTACATAAAGGAGCCGTCGACGACGTTCTACACCGCCGAACAGTGATAAAATTACCGAACGGGTAGCTATGTGCACTTGATTGCTTTTGACTTATACTGTCAAATATATCACACCTTACCTTTCGAATGTTTCTTTAGACCACACTCAAATTTCACTATGCCTAATAGTTATTTCTGAGCTATGCACGTGGTCGGTTATGGGCCTGAAGGATTATTTGAAACGTGAGGTTTGGTATATTTGACGATACCAGCCAAGAGCAATCGCGTGTCCAGGACTTTCCGTTCAACGATTTTATCACTTACCGGCTGTATAGAACGTTCGTCGACGACTCCTCTATATAAGGAGTTTACCCTCGAGAGGGATTGACTCAAACGAAAGGCACTGTACAACTGGCGAGGCTGTAGGGCTGAAACACGTGTATTGTGTTGTATAAGTGCCCATAACAGACAACATGCATGGTTTAAAAGTAACTATCAGGCATACAAAATGTTATGGAAGGCATCTAATCGTAGTTAAGGCGCACAATTGCAAAAGGCCAAGACAAATAGCTATTGTAACCACCACCCGACATAATATCGCTTGCAAGGCAGATTTTGTGAAGCTGTTCAACAGCGCAACGTGAAGACCTTTGATGAAGCTCAACCTATGCATTTAGTTATATTAGGCGGTGGCTAGATGTGTGGCACATTCAAAGGCTTTCGGGAATTGTATAACTTTATAAAGAATGCCACCTATCCCTTTCTTTAACTTTTCTCAACTACGGAAAGCATTCACCGTTGTTTAAATCTGTTCCCTTCGGCTCCTAAAGATGGCTACGTTTTGCGTAAGATTTTCGTTTTGCTGATGGCAATGCTTATGGAGTGTTAAAGAAGGTTTTTGAAGAATGATTGTCGAACTGCACGAGGATACTAGACTAAACCATATGAAAAAACATGAGGTACGCGGCTAAGTTCTATGAAGATCAGGCAGATGCACTCTACACTAACTTTTGTAATTCAAATCTATGAGTAAAGGTCGCTTTCGAGACCTGAGAGGCATTAGTCAAGTTCATTTTTGAATTGAGAACGTTGTCAAGAGATAAGACAACCGGTGGATTTAAAAATATTAAAGAGGATTTCAAAAGATTCACACGTCCTGTCGGAGCGGGACCGCAAAACGAGAGTTCGCAGTATACGCTACAGATAATTTCGCAGCTGGATTCAGCACTCATGTTACTAGCTTTAGCTGAAATCTCTCTTCGAGTGCGCCTACTTCCATGGATGGTAATTGGAAGCAACAAAATGAGTAGTTTTCACTGAAATCTGCATGTGTGAGGACGAGCCATGTAGGCAGGGGCAGTATTGAAAGAGGGAGCCTTTTGCATAGAGAGCTTACATCTCATCACGTACGATGGGCCCTCCTCATAACGCAGCCTCTTCTATGCGACCGTTGTATCTCAATATGGTGGATCATCATAGCTCAACTGACATGCATGGAATATGCTTTCTTTATTCATTGATCTCTGTGGCCATCGACTTCGGTTTAGCTCGCTAGCGCGAAATACTTGACTTGAAGAAAAAAGTGTTGTTTTGGGGTTGCAGCGGAAGCTTGAGCGCGATTCAGCATGCTGTGGTAAGAGCGTTTTAGTTTTTACTTCTCTCCGTGACTGCCAATAAGAAATACACTCGACACAAGGATTGCATATTCTTATATATAGCGTATCTCACAAAATAACGAATATTGTCCGTAATTTGTCAAACATATTTGCAGAATACCTTTACGTGATAAGAATCGAAAATTGACGAGCCGTTGTAGCTAAAATTCTCTTATTATCTGACGAATCTTCGTATAAATGCCTATCATCGTGTTCCACCTACATATGAACGGATGGCTCAGCATCAATCATTAATGAAAACAATAATTAAAATCTTGTCCTTCTATGCTCGATGTATTCTTCCTATAACGTATTATCGTTCAATGACCTATGTGGACCAGAAACTTTCGGCATCTGCTGTTTGAAAATTTTGAGGTCAAACCAAATAGCCAAATTTTCACTTATTCCACTCGGATCGTTAGAAACTTCATTCGCCCCGTTTACTGGGCGTCCATCTAACAATCGTTTTCATCATGCTGTTTTTCTTAGTGTAATAGACTTCACTTGTCAAGATTTCCATTGAGAAAACTTCTTCCGTAAGATACCTGTATCGTCGCGATAGACCAAAATCAATTATTTAGATGGTGTTGGGGACCACCGTTTTGAATTCGCTGGATCAAAAAATTTGTTGGCATAATTTCTCGAAGAATACTTTTAGTGTCTTCGTTTCTTTTATCTATCGCTCCAATATAAAGACATTGGTCAAGAATCAACTACGGCGTGTAGGTTTCGAATACCAGTCAACAGCTTGATCAGCGAAGCGTATAGACGTAGCCGTTGAAAATTTTCGATCCAAAAATTTAACCCACAATTCCCTAAGGTTCTTGCTATTCTGTAAAAAACGAACACTATGAAATTTAAATTTGTGTCAAATTAGAGGTAAAACATTCATCTAAGCACATTTTGAAAATACAGATGTTCATCGAAATGTAGTTTTAGTCAAGATGTGCGTCTGTTAGAATATTTAATCAGAATATAGTGTAAATCTAGGCGAGGTATGAAAAATATTTATATCAAAATGTATCGAAATGTAACAGTTGATACATGTTGCATAATATTCATATAGACGAATTTCAACAGCATGTCATCTACTTTAGAATTTGTTGATCATTGTGGAATTTTTTGCACGAACTCAAACGCAAGAAAATATTCTGGTCGCTTATTCAAACAAAGGTGTTCTTCTCAATCGAGATTAAAATAGAAACAGAAGAATTCATCGATTTCTCTATGAGAACATAAGATGGCATGAAACCTTTCCTCGATTTTCATGAAAGGTTGAGGTGAAATTAATTTGACTAGGCGCTTGAACATCTTTCCTTCATGTTTTGAAATCTAAAACAAGACATTATATCATAACGAGGAGAATCTGATAGAGCATATGGTCATTGGCCTGATTATCTGGTACATTTAGTCGTGCACTATGGTGCTCCATTAAGTCAAATGTATATGAAACCGGTTAAGCTCGGTAATATAAACTCTTGGAGTTCGGATAGTTTTGTGAAATGATTCATGAAGTATTGATAGTCTGCCTATCTAACCTGCTTTTTTGTCTTGCACATTCACAGTTCCTCGCCAACGCTTTGCTGACTTTGAGACAATTTACGCGAAATGCGGCGCCAACGGTCCCAGCCCGAAAATTTCGGGGTTCTTATAAGAATTAAAGAAAACTTGCACTGATTTATAGATAATTTTCGTCCTCTTCATAGCTTGCCAGCGAAATCCAAGCGCAGCGTCGTTTAGAAGACGCTGTATAATAAGTTGATTTGA